TGCCCGAGACAGACAGTTAAATACAAAGGGTGAATGTGTTTATATATATCTCTTCAATATATGTTCCATTCTATATGCATCCGAAGAAGTGGGCTGTAGTCCACGAAAGCTTATGCTCTAATAAATTTGTTAGACTCATAGGAGAGTAGAGAAGTGTTCATGTACTGTTTGCATAGCTCTGTGAATCTAGGTAAAAATCAAGGAGAGCTATTTAGATGCTCAACACCTTTCAAAAATCAGTCCCTATATCACTAGGTCTAATTGCTTGTGTTTTCCACGTAAGCTAAAGCCTAAGGAAAAGTTAGAATGAAAATAAGATGAAGACTTGAACTTGTCAATAATGGGAAAACTAAAACCATGGCTAAATGTATTGTAACATAAATGGCCACAATGCCATTCAATGGAGTTGACCCTGCTTACGTCAATAATGAATGTGACTCGTAATGTCAGTGTTTCTGGTTATCTCTTTGAAAACGGAGTGTACTGCTGAAATTTTTGGCATGATATGACACACATGATCAATTCTAGGAATGAAGGACCAGCGTGGGGTTCAGCTGTTTACTTTCTGATTACCCTTGAAGGCAAGACCTTGCAGGCTATTTTTTTCTGCTGAGTCATTTTGACATTTTATTATAACATTACAGAGTGAGTCATAAAGCATGGTTCTTTCTGGGCCATACACACTCACATCATGCTGCAGAGATATTTTCAGTTTACCTTTGAGACAGATTTTTCTTTGAGTTAGAATGGAGCAGCATCAAATATAACTCAAACACTGAATATTTCTAGCTCTACACAGCCCTAGTGACCCGGAACAATAGAACAACTACACAGAGGGTGGGGGCAGACAACACACTTCCATAAATTCTACACCTATCAGTGGGAGAATTGGCTTTTTGACGATGAAAAAGAATAGTTGTGAAACACAGGAAAGATTCTCTTCAGTCTTTTCTTTCCTTTTCGTAGCTGTCCCACTTAAGTCTGAGCTGGCAGCTGAACTTCTGGAGAAGGGACAAGTGCGATTCTGGCTGCAGGCTGAAAAGCTGTCTGGCAATGCAAAGGTCAACTTTGTATTTAATGACAAGGAAATTGTTAATGGAGAGGTATGACTTTTATTGCTTATGGTTTTCTGACTTTTATAAGCAATAGGTATCAATGTTCCAGCTAAGCACTTTGGATATAATCAGGTCCCACTGCTCTAATGCATTTACATGGAAAACATAACATGAAAACATCAGTATAAAGATTGTGCCCACATTCTGAGCTGTGGGTGAGCACTGCTGGATGCAGTTCAGGAGGGTGCACTCAGAGTGGCTTTCTGCCACCTGCAGAGGCAATACATAACTGTGGATAGTGGGGGAGGGCACAACTAAACAATTCTGTGGGGGCACGTGACCGCCCCATGTGTTGCCTCTGCCTCCACTCCCTGAAACTTGGTGTATGTAGACAACATACACTAGCAACTACCTCCTCCTCCTCCTGCTCTCTGTCCTGTGAGTGCCCAGCCCCCTGCAGAGCTTGCAGGCATCCCTGCCTGCCTGAATGCTCCTCAATCAATTTAGCCAGTGTTCAAAACAAGACCAACAAAAGGAGCAACACAATTGGGAGGCACAATCCCCCACACGCCATCAGGATGGGTAGCACCAGGGTGGGATGGTGCTTGGGGACTGGATCGTCTCAGTGAACAAGAAGTTGGAGAATTATCAGTCACCTTTTGTTGGAGGGAGGAATATGACACCCCCACATTGCCTTCACCTTGATAGGCACATTGAAGGCTGCTGCTGTTTCAGAGAACCCCCAGCAGCAGAAAGCTGCTACTGGGAGTGCATTGGAGCAGCAAGTAGCAGCAAGAGCATAGTCCACCCCACTTTCCCACTCTGCCCCCTAGCCCCCTCTGCTCACTCACCTCCAGGGCTCTTGGGCTGGATAGGGCTCCACCTGAGTTGCTTGGCGCTGAGGACCATGTCACAGTTCCTCTTCCCGATCTCGAAGATGTCCCCCTCACTTACGTCAGTGAGCAGTCTGCGAAGCAGGCAGCAGGAAGCGCTTGGACTCCAGCAGCAGGGAAGAAGCAGCAGCCCATGTAGCGATGGGGAGCTCAGCCCATAGCCAGCTCAGTGCCCTGCTGCTTCCTCCCTCCCCATGCTGTACAGACACATGGTGAGTGCCACCACCAGGGGGAGCCGCTGTTGGGCATCCTGGCGAGAAGTGGCCCGAGAAATCTGGTGAAGCCTGTGACCCCACGTGTCCCCCCACCCCGATCACCTCTGGCCACCTTTGTGGGCATCCAGATTCTCTAAGCAGCTAGGGACGATTCCAATCCTCAGAACAAGGCAGTCCTGTAATTTAGCTACCATCCATATCCCTCTGTAGGTCATTCCAGGAGACCAAAATTCCCAGAGTGCAGTGCATTCAAACCACATCCCCACATTTCCTCATCCATGTGCCCACCCCCTGAATTCTGATTACACCACTGACCAGAATTCTGCATGTAACCCAAAATCAGGGCCTATGTTATGTGCAAGTTCCCATAAGCAACAGGCAGAGAACTTTTTTTAACCCCAAAACATATGAAGTCTCTAGCATTCCACTACATTGGTTAGAGGGCATGGACAGGGCATTCTATAGAAGTAAGATATAAAAGCATCATCTCAGGGAAAATATTGTTTTGAAGAGTTGGGCAATAGTTTTCATATATTTAAAAAAATCCTTTCTAATGAAACAGAACATGATGCTCAGTACAGAACAGATATAAAGAATTATGATAATAATAAATATGCTTATATTATATTTGATTAACATATTTTATATATATGTTTAGTTATGTGCATACAGCCCGGGACAGAGACAATGAACAAATCTGAATAAAGAAAATAAAGAATGTTATTAAGTGTATTATAGAATGTGGCCAGATAGATGAGTCTTTTCTGATTCTGAAGAAGACCATTACTCTCACTTTTCTTTTTGTTCCTGAAGAAATATAAGATGAAGGTGGACCATAATACTGGCCTTATTGAAATGATCATGGATAAAATTGAGGACAATGATGAAGGGACTTATACCTTCCAACTTCAGGATGGAAAAGCAACGAACCAATCCAGTCTTGTCCTTATTGGTGATGGTAAGCTCATCTAGAACTTCACTTTTACAACTAGTGCAGTGTGATGAACTAAAGAGCCAGTGACTCCTGAGTCTTGATCTGTGCTCTTACACTAATTTCTTAATATCGATCATGTCCTTGAGCAAGTCACTTAACATCTCTGCTTCAGTTTACCAATCTGTAGAATGGGGATAATAACACCTACTAAATCTGGTCAAGTTTCAGAATTTTTTTAAATGGGGAAAAAGGAAATTTTTCCATTATAATCTTTAGGAAAAATGTTCACATTTTCCAACCATTTCTATTACTTACATGCCCCACAGTGGCATTGTGTGGATTAATTAATTTTGCGGCGTGCTTGGAAGATGGAGGTGCCATATACTACCTATAATGTCTCTCTCACATCTGTCTAGCTAGTTTTCCTATATCTACAATGAAAATGTCCCACAATGCTAATGTGATGCAAATGTTGTTGGAGATACTTGGAAGTGTTCTCCTGTTTCAAGTTAGATATTCAGATATACCTACAGCTGTCTACATTTCAACTGCTTGATGATTCTGCTGCCATTCTTGTTTTCCTTCCTCAGAGGATCAAATGTGATTAGATGAGTGACACTAAATGTCTTCTCCTTTTGGTGGCATGTATTCAGATATATTTACAATTCATACTTTTCTCTTTGATCTTTTCTCTTACGTGAATTAAATATTACTCATTGTAGCATTACATTGACATTTACTATAACAAATGAGTTTAAGAGGGTCCTCAAGTGCTGAATGAACCACCATCAATAACACACATTTCCTCAAAAGGTTTGGATACGTGTAAAAGGTTTAAAATCTGTGGGTGGCTAGGAGAGCCTGGGTCAGCTGTAATAACATTGTGACAGCTGAAATACTTAACACATGAAGTATTTACTATCAGCGACCTGGGGTGAAAAGCTTGAAGTTAATAGCAAAACTCCCATTGACTTCAGCAGGGACAGGATTTCACCCCTACAATACAATAATATCCCATTCCCAACTAAGGAGATACTCTGTCTAGAAGGCTCATATTTGTTTTCCTGATTGTTTTTGATCCCTAGTGTTCAAGAAGCTACAGAACGAAGCAGACTTTCAGAGGCAAGAGTGGTTCAGGAAACAAGGTAATGAACAGCATAATCATATGCAAATGAAAGGAGTTCAGGCATCTTTTGGCTGATTAAATGTAGGAGCAGGTTTAAATATGATATTTTGAAATACAAATGCCTATTCAATTCTAATTAATTCCTTACCTCATTTTTTACATAAAGAATAAAGAATAAAAGCCTATATTTCTGACATTATAAAAATAACAGTATATCTAGCAAGAAAAGTTCATTTGACTTGTCTTTTGTATTGTGATTATTGCTCATCTGATTTTATAAAAACTCATTTTAAACAGGTCCTCATTTTGTTGAGTATCTGGGATGGGAAGTTACCGCTGATTGCAATGTGTTGTTGAAATGCAAGGTAAGAGTTGGCTGGTTTTCAACACTGTTCAGATAGTTATAAAAGCAAGAGATATACTGGACCAGACTATGGCCAGTCACTGCACAGGTGTGCAAGGTGGGGAAGAGTGCAAAGAGGTTTCCTTTTTCTTTGTATTACCCAATTACATCTGGACACAGTCACAGATTCTGTGCTGTCTTGGGCACAAACTGCTTTCTTCTTAATGCTCCCAAAGGGTGATCTGTGGGGAGGAGGCAGGGGCCCTTCTAAGCAGAGCAGGTCAGAAGAAGGGAACACATACCGCATGCCATTAAGGGGTGTCGCAAACAGGCATGCTTCATCTGCATATTGGATAGTGCCATGAGGAACTGAGCCTCTGACCGTTGGACTTGGGTGATTTGGAATTTAAGGTTGACTTCTTCACTGTACTCTCCTCCTTCTGTTTTGGGCTCCATAGTGCTCCCACTGGGATGTTTTAACTCCATACCTCCCTTTCCTCAGGGATGTGCCTAGCAAGCACTATCACTATAACTGATATGGTCAAACCACTGTTTCTTTTAGCAGGAATAGCTTCTCAATCTAACAGTAAAGCCTTAGTCTTTGAGTATGGGAGAGAAAGAGATCAGGAGGGAGAGTTAGCTCCTCCGGGCAGGGAGTCTGCTTTTATTGAACTTTGTGCAGGGCTTAGCACAATGATACCCTGAACCTGACTGGAGGCCTCTTAGTCCTATTGTGCTATAAATATTAAATAGTAAGGAGAACCAGGGAGCAGGGGTGAGAGACAGGAAGGAGACTCTGTTCTAAAGGGATACAGAGCATTTCATTTCTAGGTCATAATGTTGTTATAATTTGGCAGCTCTCGTGTTCTTTCTGAAATGCATCGGTGATATCAGTCCAGTCCCTAGTGCATATATGCCACAAAAACAGTATGCTCTTGTTTGCTGTCTCAGAAGAAAGGCCAAGAATATAATGAACAAGTAGACTGAACAACCTATTCCTCAATCCAGGAGTGGATAAAAGGGCTTTGTTCTCCAGCACTGTCAACCATCCTTCAGTCTAGGAGGAGCAAGCAAGATGTGTGTGTGTTGGGGGGGGGTCTCTCTCTCAGAATGCTCTAAAGCCTTTTTTTGCTTCCTATTCTTTGCTCTGATTTGAGCAGAGTGCCTCTGGGTGGTGTTCGCTGACTCCTTCTCAGAGCAGTGGAGATTGTTCAGGGTTCCCTGCTCTGTGTTCCCCCTGGATCTCTCATTTGACCCTGGAACCTGTAGCACTCTCCCTGTTTTTCACTTTTTGTCCCCTGTGTAACCCTTCTGCCCATCAGAGTTGGCAGGAACAAGGTCTGGGTTCAGTATCTAGGGGTTCCGTTTCAATAACAGAACGCCCAAACCGGCTCAAGCCCCCACCCAGTGACCTGGGACAATTACATACCACCACCCTGGGCGCCTCTGAGAGGCAATACTTCCCCTCTCACAAGCACGGAGTCTGAGTATAGCAAAAGCCTTTTCATAAAGGAGGGAAACAATGTGGCATTATGTTGGGGAAACACCACAAACAGGATTCATAACACAAACCATGAGCAAAAGACCCACCTCCAAGTAAGTTTGGCAGTGTCCTTTTCCCCTCAGGGTCTTAAGTCCAGCAACCCAACAGTCACCCCTCCCACAGTTTCTGTCCTTGGTCGGTGCAACCCCCCGAGTTCAGAAGTTCATCTGCAGAGTTTACCTCCCAGCCTGGGTAGAAGTGGGGGAAGATATGGGGGCGGGCATCCTTACATGCACCACTGCTCAGGTTGACTGCTGATTGCCATGCCTCTCCATGGAGTTCTGCTACAGTCTTCACTGCCAGCTGCTCCCCCAGCCACACCTCTCCACCAGCTGCACCTCTCCCCTATCCACTCCTCTCCACTAGCTGTCCTGCTAGCCACTCACCAACTTGTCTTCAGCCCCCCCCTTAACCTCTCAGCAATTTTAGCTGGTACACCACTAGCTCAAAGTAGGTCAAATGCTTAAACCCAGGTATGAGTGACTTCAGCTCTGTAGTATATAATAAGACTCCTAATAGAATCAAAATTAGCTCTGTTGTTACATAGTGGAGATAGGAGGAAAAATAGTGGTGTTTAGGACCCACACTACAAGAGACACATATCTGTCCCCCACATTTCTCCATTCACTGGGCTTTGGAACCCATGTCCCTTGCCTAGCGAGTGCTACTTAGTTGAGGGCAAGTCCCCCCCAATCATAAAATGCCAAGTACAGTTCTACTGTCCTTGATTCACATAATGAGGATAACAACCCTTTATTACTCCTGCCCCAATAACAAAGAGACTGGGGATCCCACAGCAGCCAAAGTGACCATTTGAGCAAGCAGTCCCATCATGCTAGGCAGGGTGGGTGTGCCCATGCAAATGAGATCAGCCCCTGAAGTCCTTTTCCACAGCTCACCACCAGATGCCAGGGTAGAGCCCATTCTGATTCTGCTTACACCTGTAATCAGTTAAGTTCTGGATTCTGTCCCCTTTCACATAAGCTGATACACCTAGCACTCAATTCACTATATTAAAATAATAGGATAATACTGATGTGCTTTTCATATGTTTTAGGTGGCTAATATTAAGAAGGAAACGCACATTGTTTGGTACAAAGATGGGAGGGAGATAATGGTGGATGAGGAGCATGACTTTAAGGATGGCGTATGTACTCTGCTGATATCAGAGGTGAGTGACTCTTGGCTTTTTGATGTACAGATCCACTGTATTCAGTTCAGTTCATAGATGTGATCTTATCTGATATTCCAACATATCCACTATAGATAGGAACTGGGATATAGTTTATAAAGAAAAAGCTTACCTTGCATTAATTTTTTGGCTACAGCAAATTTCTATTTAAATCCTTGTGAATTCAGATTTCCAGGAAACTGTGAGAAAGAGCTAAAGAGCTTCACACTTCCCTTTTAAATCAGTTTAAAGAGCTGGAGGATTACATCAGACTGCTGTGCTGATTACATTAGAAAAGGGTTAAACAGTAATGTGTGCTCCTATCAATCAGCGAGAGGAAGCCTGGTCTTGTGCTTAAGGCACTACACAAAAATTAATGAGATATTGGTTCAGTTCCTAGTTCTGCTGCAGGTTTCATGTGTGCTCTAGAACAAGCCACTTAGGCTGGGTCTACACTACCCGCCTGAATCGGCGGGTAGAAATCGACCTCTCGGGGACAGGGAGCGGCAAACAAACCCCCAAACGC